CTTAAAATTTGATTGGTCAATCATGTGAGAGGCGATAAATTAGTGACATCGCGGGGTGCGGTGAATAAATATACCCTTCTTTCTTTATTCTGAATATTTCCATATATTTCATGAATATCGGTCTAATTCTTTCTCTATATTCTTTGTTAATATTTTTGATAAGTATCTCCATGCGTTTTTTTCTGTTAATTCTTTTTCTCCTATCTTTATATCATATTTGTACTTGTTTGTATCGTTAAATTCTTTAATTTTCCTCAAGTCTTTAGTGATTTCATTGATTGTTCTAATTTTATCTATTTTGGTTATATTTCCGATATGGTCTCCTTTTCGTATTACCTTAGGTTTATTTGTATAATTAATTATTCTGATTGTCCAATCATTTATTAATCTATTTTGCACGCATATACCTTCTTTTGTGATGTGCAATGGTGTTGTTACTAAATAATTTCCTATTTTGTCAATGCTAATTGCTGTCCACGTGTTTGGTAGTAATATGTGTTGATCATTATTTCGTAATGGTTTTCCAGTTCCTAATATAGATATTATATGTTTTTTAAATTTATTTGGTATATGTGCTAATTCTTAACTTAATCCCTTTTTCTAATTTGACTAGTTTTGTTTCTAATATGTTAATTTCTCTATTTTCATTTCTGTATCCATAATCTGATGTTTTTCCTTTATAATTGGGTGTTCTAGGTCTATTGGTTATTGGTTTTAAATATGGTGAGTTAGTATCTTGGTTTATTCCTATTTCTATAGGTTCTTGATTATATTCTGTTATTATTGATGGTTTTTCATTTCTGTTACTTTGTTGTTCTTGTTGCATTTTAATATATTCTTTTCTTAGTTTGTTTTTATCATCTTCTAATCTTTGTCTATAATCTTTCATTGTCATTTGTTTTCTTCTTTCAAATGAGTTTTTTCTTGCTCTTTCAAATTGGTCGGTTGGTTGTTTAATTTGAGCTGTAGCTTGGTTTTTTACTACATTTTTAGCTATATTTTTATTATTGTCTTTTCTAAAGCATGTTGTTGGGTTTATGAGATTGAGGGTACTTCATATAAATGATGGTGCTGGTGACTTGGTCTGTTCGGTTTGTTCAACTTGTTCAACTTGTTGGTCTATGCTGTTGTCACTTTTTGCTCTTAAGTACTTGTCATCTCCTACTTCAAATTCAGTGTTTTCTTGGTTTATTATTATTTCTTGTATGTTTGGTTCTAATGGTGGTATACTAGGTATGCTTTCGGTATCTTTGAATATTGAGCCATCATCTTGGTTTAATAATCCTTGAGATATATTCCTTATGATTTCTTCATCGTCTTTGGATTGATTGCTGATATGTGTTGAATTGCTTTTATATAATAAGTCACTTGTTGATTCATTATTTTTCTTTTTTCTATAATTATTGAAATCTTGTTTGGTAAATAATACTTGGTTATTTTCTGGTTCAGACTCGTAGTTTGAATATGTTATTTAATAATCATATCATGGTTCAAATCTACTTTGTTCTGGTGCTTGGGATGTTGATCCAGGTCTATTCCAGTGTTCTAATTTGCTTCTAAAGTTGTCCAGGTCTCTTTGATAAGTTTTGTCTTCTAGTAGACTTTTTGAGTCACTTTCTCTATCTATCGTTTCATATATGTTTTCTAATTTTTGTTTCTTTTCTTCTTCTAATTGTTTTCGTTTTTCTGACTCTATTTTTATTTGTTTTAGCAATTCTTCTTTATTATTTATTTGTTCAGCTGGTTTTGCGTTTTCTATATCTATCATTGCAAAGTCCAAATACTTTCGGTTTGCTTTTTCTCTGATTTCATTGTCAGGTTCTAGTTCTGATATTAATAATAGTGTCTGAACTACTGCATGTCGATCTAGTTTGTCTATATTCCTAAATTCTTCAGGTTTCATTTCCAAAGTTTTCTTAATATCTATCTAATATTCTTCTTCTTTCTTTCTTATTTCTTTCTTTATAGATTCTTTTATATAATTCTTTTGGTTGTTATACCATGTTAGAAAATTGTAGAGTTGTTCTTTTTTAGTCCCTCTATAATTTCTAACTTTTTCCAGTAAGGTTGGTATACTTTTGATTCTTTCAATAGTTTTGTGAACATCTTTTGAGTTCATTCTATTTACTTTGTTGTATTGAGTTTCAATATCTAATATATTTAGCATTAAATCTTCTAGATCTTCTGTTATTTCAGTTGATTTTCCTTTATCTTGTTCTTTTTTAATTTCTTCAAGATCTCTGTTCGTTGTGTTCAACATTCCTGAAAACACTGCTATTATTGGCATTTTTGGTTGTTTTACTTTTGTTGGTTTTATTGCTAGCGGGTATTTGTTTCTTATTAAGTTTATTTTACTCGCTATTCTTCCTGTTTTTTTATCAAGCAATTGTTTGCTTTCTGCTTCTTTCTCAGGATTTTGGTATTTTTCTTGTTTTTCTATCTTTAGGTTTGCCATGGCTTTGGTTATATATTCTATTGGATCTTCTTTAAATTGGTATATTTTATGTAATGATAGTTCTCCATATTGTAGTCCTTTTGAGTCCCATTTATTTAATTTTTTGATTCTTGTTTTAAGTTCTTTATTGAGTTCTCTATCACTTGGTAATATGTCATTTGTATAATACTTTAATGTTTGTACTTCATTTATTTGTTCTTTTTTATTCCAGTTCGTTTTTCTGGGTGTTTCTAGTATACTTGCATGCATTTTTTGTACTAATTCTTTAAATATTTCTTGTGCTAGCTGTCTGTTTAGCAGGTGTTCGTAGATATCTTGTCTACTTCCAAATACTGTTGGTTTAATGTTTATTATCTGGCCAGTTTTTGTTCTGTGTTCTAGCACGAACTACATCATTCATATGTAGTAAACATATTTCTTTTCCATAATCCTCAATCACTTTGAGGTATTTATCGAGGTTTTTGCCTGCTCTAGCTGCAAAGTAATGTTGTGTATCAAAACACAACTTTATCCGGTCTATCGCTTTATCGATTGTATCCTTTTTATACCTTTCGTCTTTTGGTATGCTATTTTTTATTTTGAGCAATTCTTCAAATGTTGCTCCATAGCATTTGTTTGATGCCGAGTTTTCAAGTAAGATTATCACATCCATTGATATGCTAGTGGAGAGGATGTGTTGCAGGTTTTTAGTTATTTCTTTAAGATCTGTATCTTTGGTTGATCCTATATGGAGTACATAGTTTCGTGCTCTTATATTATGTGCTCTTTGTATTTCTTGCACTATCCTTTTGGTTTTCCAGTTTATTTCTTCTTGTCTATTCAGCAGTGTACCACTTATTGTTAATATCATGAAAGCATATATTACTAGCTTCAATTGTGCTTGTTTGTTTCTTTGAATGATTTTAATATCATTCTGGATATCTGGCAATCCTCTTTGCAGGATCACAAAGTTGCCATATGCCTCATTTTTGAATTCTCCTTTTATAGGTATATATTGTACAAAGGTTTGTATGAAATTTGCTCCTGTTTCTATCACAGCTTCTACTATGGCATTTCATGTTCCATCAGTAGTTATACCTATAAGCTTTTTTCTGTTCCTGTTTTGCTCACAGATTTTTAAAAATATCTGTAGGGCATTTTCATCAACGAATCCTTTAGATATTGGTTGATATTTAGGCTATTTCTTCTGGAACTGTTCTCGTAAGATGAAGTCTAATTCTTTCTGCTTTTTGTATTCCAGATAAGTTTTCCATTTCTTTAACTTTTCTGGGTCTATGATGTTGGTATGTTTTATACCTTTATTATTCCTAATTCTTTTTAGTTTCAAATAACCAATTATGGGTGTTTTTCTTTTCAATATTCTTCCTTTGAGTGCTGGTCTTTCTGTTAATAAGGATTTTTTGTTAATATTCTGGGTATCTTGTATTTCTTGTTATCAGTTAGTTGTGGTAAGATGTTGGTTTGTCTTATATCTCTTATTTGCTGGTTATCCAAAAATGTTATTCTTTTCTTGGTATGATCGTCTTTAAAGTTAATGGTAGTTATATCTTTATTTTTGGGTCTAGAGATTAGTTGGGTTTTATTAACGTAATCGTCATAGTTTAGATCACGAGAGGGGTATTTGTTAATATTGGGCGCCATACATCTTTTGCTGTCTCATTTCGCGATTTGATTTTTAGGCGCAGTTAAATCAAAATCACTACGCAAGAGCAGTTGGTAGATTAAGAATACTTCAGAATGGTCTAAAAGGGTATTGTTGAAAGTAGTATAACTATGAGTGATATTGCTACCAGTATCCCTTAATAAAGTGTCACCTGTACCATTTGTACTCCTTGTACTGTTTGCTCGGATAGATCTAGTTAGTATTACGTATTGGTTTATAATTAGTTGTTCATTGATAAGGATTTGTTGGGTGTTTGGGTCTTTTGTTATTCCCATCATTATTTGATGTTTATTGCTTAGGAGGATATATTTTGACTCTGTGTTCAGGACGTCTATTTTTACTTGTAGTGTTAGATATTCATTTATCTTGATATCGACTACTAATTTGCCTAATATTTCTATATTGCTTCCTACTGCTTCTGCATTAGCTGGTTTGGCTATTAGTTTGTCTAGTTCAAGTTTTTTTGCATGGTTTATTCCCATAGATGTATTTGTTGATCCTTCATCTAGTTTTATTTCAATAGGTATATTATTTATTAATTCTACTAGGTAAAATCCTTTAGCTCCTTTAGATCATTATGGTTCGTTTTGGAAAGAATAAGTTTTTATATTTTTTGGCAGAGTATTTTTGGATCCATTAAAAATATGTTTATTATAAGTAAATATTTCTTTGTTATTACATGGGTTAAATATATTATATGTTACTGTTTTTGTACTATTATTATGAATGTTATTGTTATTATTGTTAAGAATGTTATCTCCAATACAGCCTTGTTTGTTTGGGAGTTGTTCATGAGTATTGGGCATACTCCCGTTTTGAAATAATCATTTTCTGGTCTGTAAAAATGGCTATCATATACTTGGTCGTCGCTATTGTAGCAATCATCTTCTAAGTTGATTTTATTGAAGTTTGTGATTTCTTGATATCCTTCGTATAGATCATAGTATTCATCTTTTGGTTTTTCAAGGTTTGCAATTTCTAGGTCTTTGTTATCGCTTAATTCAAAGTTTTGCTCTTGTTCTCATTCTTTGAATTGTTGAAAGTCTTGATAGTCTAAGTATTCTTGGTAGTCATTTTGGTCTGATTGTTGTTCAACAGAGTATGTTTCTTTGTACTTTTTCTTTTCAGAGTTAAATACCATTGGGTCTTCAATTTCTTTTTCTTCTTTTCTGTATTTGTAACAGTATTTTGTTGAGTAAGTATCGGTTTTGCAATTTCTACACCATTTCTTGAACTTTGGTTTATCTAGTCCTGGTGGTTTCTTATTAGTAGTTGGTAGTCTGAATGTGTTGTATGTTAGGGGTGGTTTATATTCTCTGGTTTTGAATTCTGGTTTTCTTTAGTCTTTGTAATTATTATTTTTATATTTATTATTTGTTTGGTCTCTGTAAAGTTGTTTCTTAATTCAGTTCCTGATTGCAATTTTTTCATCTCTTGTGAGTTTTCTTTTAACTTTGGCTTTATATATTTTCTTGGCTTTTTCATATTCTTCTTTGAATTTACTTCTTGATTTGAAATTGTTGTTACTATAGCTTCCTTTTTTGTAATTATTTTTTTTGTCATAGTTCTTCTTTTGGTATTTATTATTTTTGTTATAATTTCTGTTTTTCTAATAATTTCCTTTTTTATTTTTGACTTCTTTCTTGTCTTTTTGAGAACATTGGGACATGTAGTGTTCTGTTCGATAATATATATAATATCTAAGATT